GCCCTCAAGAAGCAACCCTGCCTGCCAATACCTTGATTTCAGGCTTCTAGCTTCCAGAACAGTGAGATAAATTTCTGTTATTTAAGCCCCCCCCCCACCCATTTTTGGTACTTTGTTAACAGCAGCCCTGGGAAACTAATACATACGCCTTCTCAGCCTGACCTTCCATTACAACCACGTCCTGGCCCTTGGACCCCAACTTATCCCTGCTTCTCCTGATTACCCCTCGTATACTCCCACCTCTTCCCTAACCCTCCTCCACACTCTTCTGCCAATGCTCTTCAGCACTGTTTCTCATCAGGGGTACCACTGGCATTTTGGATGGGGCAGTATCCAAAATGTCAAGCATCCCTGATACTCTCATTTCCCCAGGCTGTGACAGAGCCTACAGGGGAGAACCTATGATCCTGAATATCTACAGTCATCCGCCTGCCAGGCTTTGACTCAGGGTCCCACCACCTACTGTATGATCTCAATCAGGTCAGTTCACTTCAGTCTCTTCATCTACAAAACAGGAATAAACAAACACCTTGTTGTATGGCAGTGAGGATCTGATGAGCTGAAGATCCTAGAGAGCCCCAGCATACCCTCACTAGCTCTTTAAGGTATTACAGTAATTTAGGAATTAATACCCAGTCTATTCTACATGATCATAACCTGACTTTAACTGCCTTGGAACTCTTTTCTGAGGCTTCCTTACATAGTGAAGCTCCACTGAATATATTCTGTGAGGATGCAACAGCTAAATGCAAAGCAGTAGGTATACATTTTAAAATTGCAAAGAGCAAAGGACTCTGAACTTACTTTGTATGTGTTCCCTTCCCATACCCACCCTCACTTGAAATCACTGTTGCAGCTCTGGATAAAATTCCATGTTTTCCAACTTTGTTTCCAATTTCTTTGTATCTTTTTCTCCCGGGTACTGTGGCTATCCAACATCCAAGGATATACTGCTGTCTGGCTCACTCCACTCTGCACATGCAAACAATCCCAATGCAGCATCAGTCCTTCATTCTCCACGATTAAATGGTTTGCATCTCAAGTCTCTGAGCTGGAGAGATGGCACTGATTTGTGCCATGAGGGCAGAGTCCATGTCTGTTCTCCTGACTATCACATACACCTGGCATCTAACATTATCTAACACAGAGCCTGGTTAAGTAGGTTTTCAATGATTGTTTGATAAATACTTGAATCAATCGATGCATGAATGAGTGCATGGCTGAATGAATTCATGAATGAATGCATTCAGAAGTCAGGAATCTGGCTTCCAACTAAATCTCAGCTCTGCACTGACCAGACATAAATGACCTCGGGGTAAGCCACTTAATCTCTGTACCAAAGCTTCCTTTTCTATAAAATTAGGTAGTTGGACTTCACTACAAATCTCTTTAGGTTACCCTTCAACTCTAACTGAGCCCAGGAATTTTAATGAGCAGTAAAATATTTTGTTTTTTGAGAAATTTTAGTCAAGGCAAGTAGGAAGATAAACGGCTCTTCTGAAATCACATATTAGGTATCCCCTCTGCCAGATAGCACATTTCCAGGCAGCAGACAGGCTGCAAATACTGAAGACATCTCCGAGATGCTGAGCACTATGGAGTTTGTTATCATTGGCTTCTTTCAAGGACTTAAGAGTCACCTTGTCCTCAAAAGAGGTCCATGAGGACTTCTGCTGCCCATCCCCCAACCCACCCAAAGCCCCTCCCTTTCCAACCTGAGCAAGAAGGGCTCAGGAACTCTCTCAGGCTCCAAATCTAACTCAATTCCTCTTCCTGCCATCTGCCTAAGGCTCCCACATGCATATTTTATGATTTCTGGCATATTTCCTCCTTATCTGACATCCTGCAATGCATCCCTCTGCCGCCTATATTATTTCCATCTCTGGTAAGAATGTTCCTGAAAGAGGCACATGTCCTCAGACTGTACTTTATTACTGTTGGTCTTATCTTTCCCATCTTATCTCCTCACCTGGTCTGTGAGAGGACAGAGACCGCACTCTCCATTCGCCTCTAGTTCCCCATAAGACCAAGAAAAGAGCTGGCAAGCAGCAGACCCTCAGAAAGTATTTATTGAATGAATAAATTAATGAAATAATTGACCGATTTCAATGTCTTTAAATTAAAAAGTTACATTAACATATTTCCTGGACAAAGTTTCCAAGCCTTCCCCTTTCAGGTGTACATCCAGAATAAATTAAATTTTAAAATGACATTTCTATGAATAAACTATTTTCTTAGAACTGAAATAAAATGTCCCTCCACAACAACATAAATGACAGCAACATTTACGCTGCGTAAGAAATCCGATTTTCAGGCATCCATAGCATAATAATGTGCCAGGCTTTTATTTCCTAATAAAAGCAGACTCCACCTGGAGCTGGGGAAAATAAAAGGCAATCACCCGGTGGTGTTAGTTTTTTCAGCTGTTGAAGCTAGAGTGCTCAAGGGAATCAGAACAAGACAGGAAGATTTTCTCTAAATAGACTCTTTAAATCTATTGCTGATTGGAGCAGAACATCTTTTTGGAAATCCCTGGGACTTCCTTAGCTAAGTCTAATTCTAGTCACATTCCCTCCTTGTGGTTTAATAGACTTCAGCTAAAATCAAATTGACTTGGAAACCAAATTATTTGTTCTCCCATGCACTTGCTGGTCACGGTTGGGAACTGAATAAAATAGTGCCAACAGTCAACCCAACACTGCTGGAGGGAAAACATTTCGGCTATGCCCTCAAAGCTTAATATGACCTAATGTTTTATAGCCCCATTAGCCTCCCCAGCTCAAGAGCTGACTTAACCATCTTCAGTATTTCTTAGAAATTGTAATTTTTGCATATGAACATAAAATTAACATTACCAAAGTATCGATATTAGGGAAAAACTGTATATGGATATAGGAGATAACATTACAAATTGGGGAGACTCAGTGAATGAGGATTGTCCAAGACCTGAAAATATCGAGTCTAAGAGCACACCATTAAAATAGATAATTAGTGTTTATGGGCTGTAAGTATGTGGTAACTGAGTACGTCTTCCAGCTCAAATGAAACCATGTCAGAACACATGTTACCTGGCAGGGCAGAGAGGGGACCTGAGACATCACAGTAAAACACCCAATGAAAAGAATAAATTCACTTTGAGGCTAATAGGTATGCTGTTCAAATAAAAGATGCTGTTATAAGAATTCATCCACATTTACTCAACTGACAAAGTCAAAACGTTTTAAAACTAGAGTGCAATCTGAGTTATTCATCAAAATCCTTCATTTTACAGAAGAGAAGCTCAGGCAGAGATGGAGCACCTTATCCAAGCTTAAATTGCTGGTCAGTGCCCACACTAAAACTTACATCTCTTCATTTTAGCTCCATGTGCAAAACACATAACATTAAATTTAAAAATTAAAAAAGGCATACAGTAGGCAGGCAATAAATATTTGTTAATGGAATTAAGGAAAAAGAGATACGAGTTCCAGAAATGTTTTGATATACCAGCTACTTACTAATTATCTACACTTTGACTTACCCAAGGTAGCAAGAGCTTCATACTATAAAGCATCTCTTCTGTAATCATTAAAATGTTATCGGAACAATTACTGAAGCATCCAAGTTGGTGTAACCAAAAGCTTTGTAGCACTCTTTTAAAGGAGTACATTTGAATAAATCTATCCATGAAACAGTACTTGTTTCCAAACACATGAAGTGTAGATTCTATGGGAAAATCTATAAAAGGCAGGGATGACTAAGCAACCCAAATAACTAGAAACACCAAAAACTGTCAGGAGTCTGAGAAACAGAACATGCCTGCACATAAAGATAAGTTGGAGTTTCCCATCTATTGTTCCTAGTGCAATCGGGGGTCTTTGTACTAAAATGTTGGTTTCTTTTTAGATAAAAAGTTGTGGTGTATAAGAATTTTCAAACAATATTTTATTCCATTACTCCACCCCACCCACGTAAGGAACAAATCTGGGACAATCTGTTTGAGCTACTGGGCAGGCAATTGGCCAGACCAAACTTTAAGCAATCAGTATTACACTTTTTGATGTTTTTGATCGTATGTCTCATCAAGGAGCCTCTTAAATCTACAGTTTAACTCTTAGCTAAGGGAACGAAGTCTCAATAATCATGTAAAACACGTGCTACATATCTTAATGGGCTGCCAACTGTACTGCTGAGTATTTCCTTAAAGTCTGACATCTCTGGCTATTTAACTTCTCTTCCTATAGAAGAAAATCCTCCTTTAAAAAGTTAAGAACATCCACCCAGCAGAACAGCTAAAAATAATTAAACAAAGAGACTGACTTAATTACAGATTCCCAAAATAACATTTACCACAGCATTACCTGGGTAAAGAAAACGCACGCGCCTGCCCACACCCACCCCACCGCCCACACGCATACACATTTGTGGCACCCTAGGAAAGAAAGTAACAATGAAAACAAACACCCCTGTCACAACAGAACGAACCTGGTTTGCCGTTCTCTTTGCCCAGATATAAAACTAAAGAAATGTAGTTGGTGGCGGGGAAAGGGAGGGTGGAGATCAATTCACCCTTAAACTTGTTTCACTCAGGAGCTAGGTTGGCAAACCAAAGCGGCCAGAATAGCTCGTATCAAACATAAAACCAGGCTTAACGTCCCCAATCGGGAAGAACAAAACTAAGAGAAGGGGGACTTCCGAAGCTCTGTAATGACCCCTTCCCCAAATTCCCGAGGCACACAACAGTGGCTGGGGGCATCCCCCGGACTCCATTTTCCCGCCGCGCTGTCTCCCTCTCAGGCCGCGCAGGGTGGGCATGTGGATGAGCCCGGGGTCCCCCACCCACCTTTCCTCTCCACCCTTTTCACTGTTGTCTAAGTGTGACGGGTCACCTGCCGGGCGCCGGCTCCCGCGGGCGGACCTCTGCGAGCCAGGACGCGCAAGGGCGAGCACCGCGCGCCTCCCGCAGGACCCGCGCCCTGCGCCCGCGACCCCAGCCCGCCGCCGGCCCCCGCCGTGCTCACCGCCACGAAGCCCGAGGAAGACGCGATGAACACGCGGATGACCATCCTGTCGCTGCGCCCGGGACCGACCCTTTGCCCCAAGGACCCCCGGCTGGCGCGGACGCAGAGGCTGAACCCGGTTAAAGCCCCAGCCGCTGCCGGGAAAAGGGCTGCCGTCGGGGAAGATCGCCGGGATCTGGGTCCCTCTCGCCGGGTCCGCAGATAAAAGCCCAGCGCCGCCCGGCCGCGGGCTGAGGGGGGAGGAGTGGCAGGAGGAGGGAGCCGGCTGCAGGGCGTGACGGGAATTGTAGTTTCCGTCTCTTCCTGGAGCTGGTGCACTGAGCTCCTCCCAGCCCCCTCCGTACTGCGCGTCGATCCGGAACGGGCGCAGGTAGCCCGGGGGAGGCTGTGAGTTGTGGTGGCGAGGAAGCCGGCGAGACAAGGAAAAAGCAAACTAGGCAAAACGGCTTGGTTCAAAGTCCAAGCTTGGTTTCGTATTGCGGTTTATTGGTTTGGAGCCACCCCACCCAGAAACATCAACAGTCACGATCGTTCCGCGGAGATCCATCGTCTTAGGGCCGCCTGCACCCCAGACAAGCCCCAGCGACCTGCAGCCGGCGAGATGGGCGGGCCGGGTTTTCACGGGGGGTGGTGATGGGGTTTTTCCAGCCGCTCTGGAGATTGCAGAAAGGTGATTCTTTTAGGTAAATGAGAGGTTTCTTTTTTTTTCTGTAGACACTGAAAATTAGAAACCCAGATGAGAGCACAACCGATATTTTATTTTTATTAGCAAGTAATTGTAGTAGAAAAAATAAATGCCAAGCGAAATTAGAATCCTATCAAGATCTGGAATCAGGACCCTACCCGCCCCACCCCCTACTCTACACAATGGTTTTGCTTCTGTGCATCTAATATTTACAGCTGAGCCAAATCTGTGGCTTTTTCAAAACTGCTGCACATTCCAGCGCAATCTCCCAGGAGGATGCTGTTAAATGAAAAGCTTTTATGTAGTGGGCAATAGTTTAGGAATAGGTCTTTAGCAGAGTTTTCTGTTTCACAAAAGCTCAAGCCTCTCAGAGTTTCGTGGAAATGAACCAGTTTTCCCTGCAGTGCAGTATTTACTTTCTTCCTTTCAGCAGGGGAGTTTAGCAGAGTTCTAGGAACGATGTTAATTAAGAGTTCTAGAAAGAAAGAAATTAGATGATGATGTCTCTGGCACTTAGGTAAATTTTCTGAGCAAATACTAATCATTTTGGGGTTTTTTCTTTGTTTTTTGTTTTTGTTTTTGAGAGCAATTTCTAATATTTCAAGTTTACAACTTTTACTATTGCTTATCTTAAACAACTCATTTCTGTAGTATTTCTTTTTTAATTTAGTGCAATAACAGAAGATACAATCATGTTGGGACTTTATTTCTTCTCAGTGTTTAAAATTTTTAAATATGAGTTTTGCTGTAATCATTATCTCTCTGTACATGTACTTTAATTTTGCTACCATAAATTGGAAATGAATGTTTATAAAATATGTAATAATTTTTTGAGGTAGAAACCATATTCCTGTATAAATGCAAGTCTTTATGACAGTCAACATTTTCTTCAGTTTGTAATTATTCAGCTCTAAGGATATAGTTAAACTCAAAAAATTGGAACTCAGAGCCTTTTCTGTGAAAGGTACCAGAATGAATAAAAATTAAGTCATCTCCTCAGTCAGCAGAGCACCTATTCTCTGTGAAAGAAAAAGACAGGTACAGAAATAGAGACAGAACAAGACACTATGCCAATAGAGTATTGTGCATAAAGGAAAGAGAGGGGAAAGCTGGCCTTTTATAGAAGGGACTTTAAAGATGAGTTGAGTTTCTACTGGTAGATAGGGAGGATGCAGGGTGAGAATACTCAGAATGTGTGAGAACAGCAAGGAATTGGTTTTACTTCAGAAAGGGATATGAGGAGACTAGTAGGAAACAATGCTGAAAAAGTAGGTTTGAATGAGTGCAACAAGGGACTCTGACTGGGTTGTTTGCTCAGCTCCTCATGATTTTCTAGGATATGTTCCTCTGCTCTGGTCCTAGAGATGGTAGGGGTTCCCAAAACCTGCTTTATACAAGACCCAACCCCTGGCCACAGCTGATTGGTTTAGGGGTGAGGAACTGAGCCAAGCAAAACCAGGCAAAACTACCACCGTAAGGATTTGGAATTAGGACTGAGAAAGCGAGAGAGTTTGAATTTGTTAAATGAAGGCTCAGAGTTTTCCAAAGCCATGTTCCAACACGAGAACCAGAGAAACTGAAGAAACTAGTCAGTAGAAAGAGAACAACAAATAGGTTTGTGGAGATAACAGAGAAGAGTTTCAGAGACAGTCCTGACAATGCTTTAATCTAAAGGTCTTCAAACCACCACCTGTGTGTCAATCCAGCTGGCTGGCTGTTTTGTAAATAAAGTTTTATTGGAATACATTCCTCTTTGTATTGTCTGTGGAAGAGTGACAGAGACTATATGGCCTGCAAAGCCTAATACATTACATCTAGCCCTTTACAGAAAAAAGTTTACCAATCTCTGTTTATGGTTCAACATGTTCCTATATCCCTGCTCTTGAGGTCTGTGTAATATCCCTGTGTCTACATCATAAATTCCTCATCTTGCACAAGCCACCTCAAATGGGTTTTGTTTTGTGGAACTAAAAGTGCCCTAACTGAGAAATTTGTCTTTAATTTGAAAGCTTTCTGAGAAACAGAAGGATATGATCAGAACTATACTTCAAAAAGATTACTCTGGTAATAGCACTATTTTTTCTACCCTGGATGAAAAGTTCATCTCTACAGTTTATGCAGGACCAAGTGTGTTGGCAGTCCTGGAACTCAGCAAGGCCAGAATGGAGTTGAGATCCAGAGTTCAGAAAGTAAACAAAGTGGGAGACTGACTGAGAGCAGAAAGCAATCTGGGTTCCAGGGTATCATACTAGAGAGTGGATTAGATGCCAATCTGACAAAGAAAGTCTACAGATAGACCAGGCAGCTGAAACTTAAAGACAGGGCTCGGAAACTTGAGCAGGTCACTAGGCTTGAGGGAAGTTGCTCCTGTGTTGCCTAGGACTTGATCCCCTCTACAAATCGTGCTAGACCATCTGACTAGAGGGTTTTAAAGCAGGGGTTCTTGATCATTTTTTGTGGGGGGGAATAGGGGGGTTCTGAGGACCCTTTTGTAGTCTGGTAAAGTCTATGAACCCTTTCTCAAAATAATATTTCTAAATATAGAAAATAAAAGATCAGGATTTCAAAGGAAACTATTGCAAAATAGTTATCAAAATATTAAACATTTTGATATGGTAATATATGTTTATTTATTAATGCATTAAATATCAAGATCTAGTGATGCATCAAATAACTATTATGATTTTGAAGTACTAATGGGAAAATTGGGAAATAATGAAACTACCTATGATTTCCATAGGTAACAAAGTCACCAGTGTTGCTGCTATTACACTGGTTTGTTGCCTACGTTCATAATTAAAGGAAATGGTAAATTTTGGTTAGAATTTAGTGAAAATATAAAGGTTTTTTTGCTCATTGAAGATCATGAACCACCTAAATTCTATCCACAGGTCGTTTAGGCTGGGGGTAGGGAGAGGTCCAAGAACCCCGGGTTAAGAAATCATGGTGTCTGACTGCATTCAAATCTGCAGAAGCCTACGATTTTGCCTAAGAGGAAAGTTCAGAAAGAGAGACAAGAAGGAGCCATGAAGAGTCCCTTGAAAAACTCCTACATTTAAGAATTAGAAAAAGAACCAGGAATTAAAAAGAATGGATGAGTCTGGAGAAAATTATGTTAAGTGAAATAAGACAGACAAAGAAACAGAAATACCGCATGTCCTCACTCATAACTGGCTGCTAGGAAGGGAGGGAAGAAGGAAGGAATGAAGGAAAGAAAGAAAGAAAAGACCACAACAATATGTTGAACTTTCAGAAGGAGAGAACAAACCTAAGGATACTAGAGATGTGGCTGGGGTGGGGTGGGGGTTGGGAAGTGATAGGTCTGGCAAAGGGCATAAAGAAATATCACAATTTGTAAGGATTAATATGCTAATAATAAATTTAAAACTTTTTTTAAAAAAAGAGTGGAGGGAGCAGTCAGAACAGTACAAACCTAAAAGAAGATAGTATCATAGAACCCAAGAGATTAAGATTCAGAAAGCAGAGAATATCTAAGAATGTTAGTCTGGAAGTCAAGAAAGATTATAATGAAAATGGGGCTTTAAGTTTGTGAATCAGAAAGCCTGAGTTTACATTCCAGCTCTGCCTCTTAAGACCTTGGGCAAATTTCATCACCTCTCTAAGCCTCAATTTTTGTGTCTATAAAATGAGCATAAAAATAGTAGTTTCCGGGGCGGCCCAGTGGCGCACTGGATAAGTGCGCCGCTTGGGAAGCGCGGCGGCGCTCCCGCCGGAGGGTTCAGATCCCACATACAGACCGGTTCCCGCTCACTGGCTGAGCGAGGCGCGGGAGCAACACCGAGGGTTGCGATCCCGTTGCTGGTCCCCGGTCCGGTACGGGGGCAACACTGAGGGTTGCGATCCGTTGCCGGACATGGAAAAAGACAAAAGACAAAAAAAAAAAAAAAAAAATAGTAGTTTCCACTTATCCCTGGTTTTGCTTTTGTGGGTTCAGTTACTGCAGTCAATGGTGGTCAGAAAATAGGTGAGTACAGTACAATAAGACATTCTGAGAGAGAGAGAGAGAGAGAGAGAGAGAGAGAAACCTCATTCACATAACTTTTATTATAGTATATTATTATAATTGTTCTATTTTATTATTAGTTATTGTTGTTAATCTCTTACTTGCTGTTTAGTCCGTTTTGTGTTGCTACAACAGAATACCTGAAACTGGGTAATTTATAAAGGAAAGAGGTTTATTTGGCTTACGATTCTGGGACAGCTGCATCTGGCATGGGCCTCAGGCTGCTTCTACCTATGGCGGAAAGCAGCAGGCAGCCGGTGGATACAAGCAGATGACATGGCGAGAGGAAGCAAGAGAGTGAGAGAAGGTACCAGGTCTTTTTAAGCAACGAGCTCTCGCGGGAACTAATAGAGTGAGAACTCACTCATTAATCCCCCCTCCCCCAGGGACAGCATTAATCCATTCATGAGGGATCTGCCCCCATGACTCAGTTTCCAACACTGCCACATTGGGGATCAAATTTCCACATGAGTTTTGGAGGGGACAACACATCCAAACTCCATCATGTGCCTAATCTATAAATTAAACTATCATAGGCATGTACGAATAGGAAAAAACATAGTACATAGAGGCTTCAGTATCCGTGGTTTCAGGTATCCACCGAGAGTCTTGGAATGTATCCTCCATGTGTAAGGGGGGACTACTGTAATGGTATTCACTCAAGATTGTAATAAGGATTAAGGATTAATTATGTTTAGGATATTATCTAAATTATGCCTTATATTTCCTTCAACCCACAGCCTTTCTAAAGAGAACTCCCAGTCTACCTGGTCACAGATGTTTGAACAAGATCTGTGTACTTTCCCCAGCATGACCTTTTGCATCTTGAAAGTAATTT